TGGTTACAGACGGTAAATTATTTCATCTGGTGTAGATGGATCCTACTACTTTGCTCTGATATAGTAAAACAGGAATTATGAACATTTGTTGTGGGTTTTTTTTCCTATCTGATGGATATAAATGGTTAAATTGTAAATAACAGAGAAGCTATTCCCAAGCTAAGATTCCCAAAGACATTTTATTGTCTTCTTACTGTCTGTAGCATACTTAAGCTTTTATATTTCTTCTGTTTCTTTTGCCTTGCATTCTCAATAATCTGCTTGCAATATACATACTACCAGTGAGTATCTCTTCTAAACACCTCTTCTGGACTCACCCTTCAGGTACATAAATCTTTCTTATCTGTTGAAATATCACTCTGGTCTGACAAAATATTAATCCAATGACATTTTAAATAAATCTGTCTTTGTATTTGCAAGTGTAGTGATCTTTCTCACTTGCTGAGACCAAAGTTGCAAGTGATAGGCTATCAAAGACATATTTCATGTTTTTAATGCGTCTCCTCAAAACAGTGATCTTTCAGCCCTTGGTACATAGACCCCCTCCTTTTTGAAGAGCTGATGGAGAGAAGCAGGGTCCCTATGGGCTGTGACTTAAGTTCCTTCTGAACGAAATGATGGTGGCCCCGTCGGGGAGGTGAGGATAGGAGTTGGCAGGGTCTACCCACCGCAGCCGCAGAACAAGGCTACAGAGCAAAAGCTATGCTGTCTGTAGCTTCAGGAGACCAGAGCCATGGAAAGAGGCAGGTCTGTAGGGCCACCATGCTTTCTCTTCCAGAAACATTGCCTAACACACCCCTGTCTCAAAATGCCTGGCTCCAGCCCATCTCTCCATGCACAGCACCCTAGCACCTATCTCCTAGCACCCACAGCCCAGCTGCTGGCTCTCCCCCACTCACATCCCAGCATTGGCTGTTCCTCAAAATCATAATGTATTTCGCACAAGGATGCTCCCCAGGACAGTGCAGTGCAGCTGACATCCTCTAGACACCCTGGGCAGAAATGAAGAACCTGCCATGTGTCCAGTCGGCCTGCTTTTTGCTCCATTCCCCTTGCAAAATCAAGCAGCTTCCAGCAGCTTCCCCACCCAAGCAGGATACCTTCCCCTTGGCTGAGGCGTTTGGGTGCTGCTGCCAAGGAAGGATGAACATCTGCAGCGAGATGCTGGGACCGTGTCCTGATTCTCCAGCCAGCCAGAACTGAGCTCCTGCCAGCAAGGGAGGAGGTTTCTATGGGCACAAGATGGCTGGCAAAATGCTGATGCATCTGTGTGGTTGACTCCCTACAC